GAGGTTTATACACTTAGAAAAAATAGTGTCCCAGTATACAGCTTTCAAGTCCAGACTTGGAAGTAGTAGTTGGAAATTGGAAACAGTTTGTTTATGTCGTCAAATCCTTCTTTGTCACCTGACCAGCAGAAAGCCTAAGTCCATTACTTACCAACAGGAATCTGTCTTCGATGGTCCTCACAGACCTGAGTATAGCCTTGAGGATGAACCACTTCCTCCACCCTCCGGTGCAGACCTGGCCAGCGGTGCTTCTGTAGGAAATCCAGTGTTCACCCAGCTGTCTGCGGAGTGCTCCTGGACCATGAGCACTGGAGCCCGTTCTTGTCTATTCTCATAGTTTTAAAACATAAAACAAGGTTCAAACACTACGTTCTCTGTGAACTGCTGAAGACTGGGAAACCTTACATTCTTTGCTCATGACCTGGATTGAAAAGCACATGGGCAGGAGACAGAAATGAGTGAGCCCCTTTGAAGACCCTCCTAATGAAGGCCCCAGGGAATTGCCAGGCGAGGTAGGATTTGCTGGGCCCTGGAGAGGAGTGCTGTGTCAAAGGGAGGACCAGGACTGGCTGCCGGAGTGCAGCCTTACTTCGTGTTAGCCTATTTTGGGCCCCAATGAGAAAGTTATTTTAATAACGTCCTGCTCTGCTGGAAGTACACATGGTATAAGTGGCGGGTGTCAGAAAGGGGAACGTTACAGCACTGTGTTCTCCTCAGGTCCTAAGGAGGCCATATCGTTGTCCTCTTCAGTCAACACTGATGTACAAAGCAGCATAAATTGGAAAGGATGTTAGACAGAAACCAGGCCAGTGATCTCAAACAAATCAGAATTGCACAGACAGGGAATTGGGAATTTCTGCTTTTCACAAGCTACCTGGGTGATTCTTAACCACCAGCCCAGAATCTGAGAGCCAAGAATTTAGAAACTCCTGATCTGTCAAGTATTCTGTCTTTTATTAATTTTTACATTTACTTACTTTGTGTGTGTGTGTGTGTGTGTGTACACCATACATGTGTCATCACAGCACACACGAAAATGTCAAAGGACAACTTGTAGGAGTCAGTTCTCTTTGCCCTTCGAGCCATCCATCTCAGCGGTCCATGTTGGAAGCTCCTGACCAGTGGTGCTGGATCACCCCCTCTCCCATCCTCCCCTGCTCCACTTCAGCAGAGCCCTTGAGGTTGGCTTGTGAAGTTGGTAGTTTAGATTCCCTGATATCTACCTGTGAGTAGAAAATGAAAACATGACATTGGACAAATGGGTAAAAGTGATTTGGAGCTTATAAGGTGGCTCAGTGGATAAAAGCACTTGGTCTATAAGCATAGTGGTCTGAGGACTGTGTCCAAATATGTTATTAAAAAGCCTGGCATGGCTGCACGTGCCTGTAACTGTAGCACAAAGGGGGACAGGTGGTCCCAAGAGCTCACTGTCCAGCTAGCCTGGCCCAAAACAGCTTCTAGCTGAATGAGAAACCCATTATCAAGCTAAGAAATAAAGTGGAGCGCAATAGAGGAAGACATCCTCCATTTGCTCTGACTTCCACATGTGTACAGAATGGCCATGTACGCCCACATGTTTACACGCATATCACACACACGCGCACACACACACGTAAAGCATCAGTAAGGACTCTTTGTTAGCCATATATTAGTTAATTCAGCTTCCCTAAAGGCAGGAAGCTACTTTACTCTCCTGAATAGACAGTACACAAGCAACACATTAAAATAGAAAACAGTCATTCATCCCTCCATCCATCCATTCATTCAGACACTAGTCTACTGAGCAGTAAGGAGCATTTCCTGGCCCTCAGGAGCCTGTGTAAGCCTGTGTAATAATACTGTGGGTCCCACACGTATGAGCCGGTGAGTGTAGAAACCTCATCTGTCCTGTTGATGGCTGGGCCCAAACTCAGCCTCGGTTGCAGCACTTGCTCCTTGAATGTTTGCTGACTGAATGGACAGCCATTCACGTAAGAGCAAGGAGCTAGAATGTGGTCTTTGTTTCTAACTCTCACTAGAATTTATAGCAATATAAATTTAGAGCTTTTTATAAAAAATTATGTTAGGGTCTACTCCGTGTGTGTGTGTGTGTGTGTGTGTGTGTGTGTGTATGTGTGTGTGTGTAATACATTGTATACCTAATAACTGGAAATATAATATGTATTATTTATTTCTAAATGTTTAAATATTTACTATATTTGTTTTCTGAAATGAATGATCCTTTTACATACAAGCTAAGCAATCTAGGGTGAAATAGTGTCACAGAGCTAAAATGTTTGCTGAGACCAAATAAAAATGATATTCAGGGGGCTGGAGAGATGGCTCAGTGGTTAAGAGCACTGACTGCTCTTCCAGAGGTCCTGAGTTCAAATCCCAGCAACCACATGGTGGCTCACAACCATCTGTAATGAGATTTGATGCCCTCTTCTGGTGTGTCTGAAGACAGCTACAGTGTACTCATAAATAAAATAAATAAATCTTAAAAAAAAAAAAAAGAAACTTTTTTTAAAAAAATGATATTCAGATCAAGTCTATTGGGATATGCTGATAATCACAGTACTTAGGAGGCTGAGGCAGAAAGATCAAGAATTCTGCATAGTAAATCCCTTGGCAAGCCGAGAGAAAGAGGGGGGGGAGGGAGGGAGGGAGGGAGGGGGGGAGGGGGGGGGGGGGGGGGAGAGACAGAGAGACAGACAGACAGAGAGAGAGAGACAGACACAGAGAGAGAGACAGAGAGAGAGAGAGAATGAGAATGAGAATAAAAGGACCACTGAGGTGGGTCACACTCCAGTAGTCACAGTTTGCTTAGCTTGTATGACTGCAGAGTTTACTCTGTGTGCGACAGAGACTCTCCTTTCTGTTTTTAGAGCGGGCTGGCCAATATAGACAACTCTACTGAGTGAAAGGCAGTGGTGGGGTGTGAGGGTGGAGAACAAGCTAGAAATACAAAGTAAAAAGAGAGGTCAAGGTTTGAAAATAGCATGTGTCCATCACAAGTGCTTCAGGGTACTGGAGCTCTCTTTGATACTTGGTCTATAAACAAAGTATGGAGGAAAACACTTCTGTAGCAAAGCAGACTGTACCTGTGTACCTTATGACCCAAAGGCAAGGACTCCCAACAAGTGCCACTCACAACATTTTCAACACAGCTTGCTTGTTAAGAGCAGGCAAGAAGAGGAGATGCTTAGAACAGACAAAGCCAGTGCTGAACCCACAGGTGTTGGTGGGGAGGGGTGCTTTGACAATAGGAACGTGCTAGACAAATTATGCAATTGGTGCATCGTTTAGAAAGTATCTGCCGTACTTGGAAGCATACACCTATAATCCCAGCCCTTGGGAGGTACCAACAAAAGAATCAAGAGTTGAAGGCCACCCTCAGCTACCGACAAGTTTGAGGCCAGCCTGGATTACGTGAGATACTGTCTCTAAGAAAGGCAAAGTGCTGTGCACACCTGAATAATTGATAGCCATCCTCAAGAACAAGGACAGAATGGACAGTGTGAAGAGTGTCCGTCAGTCCCAAATGGACTCAGGAGTCAGCTAGGTCAGGCATGGTGGTGCTTAGTGTAATTCTGGCATTTGCAGACAGATGGGAGAATCAGATCAAGTACAAAGCCAGTCCCCCCACCCCTGACCCTGTCTAAAAACCAACCAAACATCTAGGAGTTGAAGTACTCAAAGTCAGTAATGGCTCATGGCTGGTAATCCTAGCATAGAGGGATTACTGCTTCAGAAGGCTGAGGCAGGAGGATAGCCAGTTCAAGGTCAGCCTGAACTACATATCAACACCTTGTCTCAAAAAAGCCAACGACCGAGTGTAGAACAGAACTGCTCTTGTTGAGGTCTTCACAAGCCATCCAGGAATCATTCATCAGATCGAGGCCTAGCCCCTGGAACTCACTCTAGACAGGCTGGCCTCGAACTCACCAACATCCACCTGCCTCTGCCTCCTCAGGACTGATCAGGTGTGTGCCTACACCCAACTCAGAAGGGGTTTCAGTATAGATATTATTTTATTCTAGAAAATATTCCCATGAACAGATACATATAAAGTATCTGAGCAGAGAGTAGCCTGGTTTTTAAATACCTTCAAGAATAGACCTATATTCTTATTGAAACATTGTAACTCAGTGCTAAGCTCAGACTCCTCAGAGTCTTTTGGAAATCCTAGATCTCTAAAGAACTCTTAAAACAGTGGACTAGAGAGATGGTTCAGCAGTTAAGAGTACTGGCTGTTCTTGCAGAGGACCTGGGTTTGATTCCCAGCACCCACATGGCGACTCACAATCATCTATAACTCAGGTCCCAGGGAATCCAACATCTTCTGCCCTCCGTGTTATATAGACACACATTCAGGCAAAATCTTCAGACGTATGCATTTTCTAAATAAAAATTTCAAGTACAGATTGAAGACTCTGAATTTTTATTTAATTTTTTTTTAATTTGAAGCAAATTTAACCTTAACGTACATTTTTTCTTTTTTCCCAACTTCCCAAGTTCTTCTGTATGTGTGTGTCTGCTATATGCACATGCATACATGCATATGATGTGTGTATATGTATTTGTATGTATGTATACATTTCAAACAAAAGTTGAAAGAACTCTTCAGATATACATATATATGCAGATATAGAAAGAGCTATCACAGGCTTTATGAATAAATATATAGTTCAATATACGTTAAATAAAAGAGGGAGTGTGGAGAAAAAGAATTGAATTTTGTTCTTTTTAATGTTTCTATTCTTTCTAGCTGTGTGTATTTTCTGGGAGGCATCTGCATGTGGGTGAAGGGGCTGCTGCCCCTGGACCTGCAGTTCCAGGTGACTGTGGACCGTGGACATGAACTCGTGGGCTCTGGAAGAGCAGTGCACGCTCTCACCACTGAACTGTCTTCCAGCCCTAAGAATTTTACTCATTAAGGAGCAAAACACTAGATAACTACTAAAAGAACAAGAAACAAAAACAGCTAGAAATTAATTTCTTCTTCTTTTCTGTTCTAGGCTCAAGAGAAAGGAAGATTGAACTACAGTAAGGTGGGTGGAGTGTGCATGTGCTTCATGGTCTGATCACTTTTTATATTTGCAAGGTCAAAAAAGAAAGATGGCTGGGGACGGTGGCATGAACCTAATCCCAGCACCTCGGAGGTAAAGACAGTCAGGTCTCTAAGTCTAGGTCACCCTGATCTACAAAGAAACTGATCTGGCCAAAGCTACATAGTGAGACCTTCTCTCAATAAATAGATAAATAAAGAAATAAAATGGATTTGGTTAGTGTCATCCACATCATGGCTCACAGCCATCTGCAACTCCTCGCAATCTGCCCTTACATACACAGTGCAGGAACATACATGCAAGCAAAACATCCATACACATAAAAAATAACATAGTTTTTAAGTTAAATATATAGGTTAAAAAGAAGCGTGGTGTTTAAAGCTGAGAGATTGTCATTAGCAGATAGAAATGATTTATTCAGCAATGTGTGTATTTATTCCATACAATGTGTTAGATATCGAGAATAAAATGGTGAGGGCCAGCAAGATGGCTCAGCAGGTAAAGATGCTCACTGCCAAGCAGCTCAAAGCCAAGCCTGATGCCCTGCGTTTGACTCCCCAGAACCCACATGGTAGAAGGAAAGAACCAACTCTTGAAAGATGAAGGGCATTATGTAGTTGGAAGAAGTAGGCTTGCTAGCTAGGTATCTTCTGGAGCATCGTGGGACTCTGCCTTCACAACCTTGCCTGGTCCTGATTGTACTATAAAGGGTCCCCTTCCAAAAGCATCAGCTTACCAACTAGGGAATCAATCCAGTTGCCAGCATAGGAACTCCTGGGGACACAACCATAGCATCAGTGCAGCATCGAACAACACGGGGGAACATGTATAAACACAACTTCCCACACATCTGTGAAGCACTTGAAGCTCACACCAAAGCTTGTCATACTGTGATGTGACAGAAAGGCGGACATGTAAGTCTTAGGTTTCCCAGCCTCTTGATCCATGAGCCATCATGAGCATCATGTAAGTTATAAAGTCTCTGGCAAGCGTATGATATAGAGAGGGTAGGGGCTAGGGCAGAGGTCCATCAAGCTGAGTGTGCTTACTGTGAAATCAAATCTCCAGCACCCATGGGGAAGCCGGGTGTGCATGGCTGTGCATCAGACCCTCTTACAGAGGGAGCAGAGGAAGCTAGACAGAATGTTTGACAGCCTTCCCAGGTCATTTTGACATATCTCCTTTGTTAAAACTAGCTGTGGTCAGCACCATAGCAGACACTTGTAATCTAGCACTAGGCGGGGTAGAGGCCGAAGGATCAGGAATTTTAGGCCAGCGCTACAATGAGTACTTATCTCCAAAACAGAAAAAATAATCAAGGTTAAAAAAAAAAAAAACATTTGGTCCAGTCAGGTAGCTCAGTGGGTAAAATGGTTGCAAGTCTGACAACCTGAGTTCAATTCCCAGACCACACAGTAGAAGGAGAGAGCCAGCTGCCAACATTGTCCTCTGACCTCCACGTGTGCCTGTACCCATACTGTCCCATCATACACCCACACACTATGGGATGTAGTGAAGCACGCTTTCAATTCCAGCATTTGAGAGGCAGAGGCAGACAGATCTCTGTGAGTTCAAGGCCTGCCTGGTCTACACAGTGAGTTACAAAACAGCCAGGGCTTTGTTGAAAGACCTTATCTCATGAAAGCCAGAAAAATAAAACTGAGAGGCTGGAGAGTTGGCTTAGCAGTCAAGAGAACTGTCTGCTCTTGCAGAGGGCTCTGGTTTGAGTCCCAGCACCCATATGGCAGCTCACAACTGTTTGTAATTGTAGTCCTAGGGGATATGAAGCCCTCTTTAAGGGCACCAGAAATGCACATGGTACACATGCATCCACATAAAATAATAAGACAAATCTTTAGAGGAAAAGTTCTAAGTAAATAAATAAACCTGTGAGACATTAGATCTCGGGACACAATGTGGTCTGTGAACACATTTAAGTTACACTGCTTTGAGACAAAAACAAAAACAAACAAAAAAACAACAACAAAGGACCATTTATCAGGTGTGTGGCCCGTAGGTGACTGCTTAGCTGACAGAACTTTGCTGACTGTCTGACCTGTGTGATGGTCAGGGTTATCTGGAGGGTGAGCGCATCTGCACTCCAAAGAAGACAGGAGGAAATCAGTGACCCAGGGGAGCTTTGCTCGCTTTCTCAGGCAGGCGGGACTTTGCACCCAGAGGTGCAAGCCTGTGGTTCGTGCTTTGCTCTGCCACACACGTCTTTGTCTCCTCTAAGCAGACTAGGCTGTGGAAGCACCCCTCAGCCTAGAGCCAGTGTCCATGTGTCACTCTCCAGTGGCGTGTGTCTTAGCTTCCTTCCTGTGGCGTCCTGGGTAGAAGAAGGCTGAGCTTCATCATGGCTCTGAACCTTCATGTCTTCCTGGCCTTCCAGCATCAGCAGCCCTATTTAGTATCTCTGAGCTTTCAGGGGCGTTGTTAGTATTTCATGGCTTGGCTTCTTAGAGCTGTTTCAAGTTCACTGCAAGGTTGAGTAAAAGGATTGAGTTCCCATTATAACCTTCGGCGTCACTTCTGGTTGTTGAAAATATGTAATCTCACTCAGGGGCTTCTACCCCACCTTTGGTCATTGGCTCCTGGATAAAAGACACACATCTTTTATATTTATAATAGACCTTAATCAGCACTAGAGCCGGGCAGATAGCTATCCTCTGTGCTATTAGAATCTATTTCTGCATCATTAACCCCAAATTATAATTTGCCATGTTCCATCTGGGCATCTCCTAGCTTCAGCTGGCCAGCCCTCATGGCCGTGCCTTCGTGACTCCTACCCATGGTGTCCTTTCTTCTTTCCTCCTCCTTATCTCCTCATGGTTCTCTTCCATCCCCGAACCCAGGAACCTCAGTCTGGCCTATCTTAATTCTTCCCAGCTATAGGCTGCAGGCATCTTTATTCACCAATCAGGAGTAACTTGGGGGGCAAGGGTCACATATTGTTACTTGGGTCTCAGTGCACATTCTCTTGTCCTTGAGGGCAACCAGGCCTTGGGGGCCAGTATTTATATTACATAGTAAAAGGCCAAACCTCTACACCATCCATTTGTTAAGTCATCAGTGAGCCTCTGTTGATAAGGCACTCTCTCCAGAGCCCATGGTTTTCTACAGGACCTAGTTCACACTTGGTGTACCTGGGTTCACTTTGCTTATTCTGTCCTGATGCTGACACTCCCATCCTCCTGGAAGTCAACTTGTTACTATGTATCATAATAATTTCAAATCTCATATTTTTTCATATCCTGCCTCTTCCCTGTGATGTTTCCCTTGCTTGTGCCCATATCTCTTCATCTGAACCACTGAAAATCCTACCACAGGATCTCGATGCCTCTCTTGTCACCATAGACCCATTTGCCAGATAGAACAATTAAACCTCAGGTGCCATAGTTTCAGTCTGCTGCTTCAAACCCTCTACTGGGTCCACACTGTCTACAAGGCCGTCAGAGCCTTCTGGGCTTGCACACGTGAGGTTGTGGAGTCCTACTTCTAGAGAGATGCTCCAGCTTCCCCTTCCATTCCCCAACAGCACGGAGTCACATCTGCAGACTCTTTCAGTTCTCTATGTTTTTTGTTTTGTCCTGGTTTGTCCCTGGGGACTGCACATGAGGCATGCTCTCTCCACTAAGCTGCATCTCCAGTCCCTCTCTAGTTTTATTTTGAGGCAGACATTCTCACGGTGACCAAGACTGGCCTTGAACTTACAGTGTTTGTGCCTGAGCCTCCCAAGTAACTGGAATTACAGGCTTGCATCAACAGACCAGGCTTAGTTTTCTGTGTCTTGACTCCTGCTGTCTGCTCTGCTTGGAAGACACATGTCCCTGTTTCTGGCTCTTCTGTCCCCTTGTAATGTAAAATTTAGGATCATTGCCTATAAGGAGGCCTTTGCACTCGGACAGGCTGGATTAGGTCCTTCCCACAGTCTCTAAGACACTGTGCGTCTCTCGTGTCTTTGTTGTTTTATGGTGACCCATGATTGGATCCTGGACTGTGAGCTCTTGAGAACAGGGACAATGCTGGGTTTGATTTGGGGGCGTTGGGTTGGTGTGGGGATTGATTGTTGGTGTTTGGCCTTTGGCCTTTGTAATTGGTGCCTAATGCTTGGTGCTTAGTACTGGATGACTGGGCCCTGTAGAGGAACAGAGGATACTTGAAATACACTGGGAAGAAGTACGTTGCAGGAAAAAGCTAATACAGAGCTTTTCATCTCAGCACAGAGGTGAGAGAATCTAAGCCATCAGCAGAGCAAAGCAAACTGAAGATAAAGAATGGGTTTTTACTAAGTGGGGAGAGAACGCAGGATGACTGTGGAGTGCTGAAGCATGTTTGTGACTTAAAGACTTCCTAGAACTTCTTATCAAAGAGCAGTTTACAGCAGAAGAGACTCACATTGGAAACTGTACTGGAGCCAGGTGGTGAATTACTGAAGCTGGCCACTTGTTATCTTAGCACTGAAGAACTGAGGCAGGAGGGTAGAGAGTGTGAGCTGCCTGTTGAGACTCTGTCCAAAAAAAAGGAAGGAAGGAAGGGAGGGAGGGAGGAGGGACGGAGGGAGGGAGGGAGGGAGGGAGGGAGGGAGGGAGAGAGACAGAGAGAGAGAGAGAGAGAGAGAGAGAGAGAGAGAGAGAGAGAGAGAGAGAATGGTGTGCCTGTAGCAGCACTCCTGCCTGACCTTGTGGCTGAGTGGGTAGATGTCCATGTATGTGCCATAGCATGAATACAAATTTACACACACAAAGAAATGGGCTTTGTTTTTTAAATTAAGGGCTTGGAATGACAGCCCACACCTTTAAGCCCAGCTTGAAGGAGACATCAGCAGGTAAGATCTCTGAGGTTTAGGCTAGTCTGGACTACATAATGAGTTCCAGGCCAGATAGGGCTACATATAGTAAGACAGTACCTCCAAAAACCAGAGAGAAGAAAGAGAAGAAAAAGCATGTCTAGACCAAGCAATGGCTATGCTTCCAACTTGC